ACAACACTAAATATGTATTGATCAGTTTCACCAAATTGATCAAGCATTCATGAAGATCTAAAGACATTTGCAGACAATCCCTTTGCATTCTTCCAGCAGGGCGAACTCCAGTTATGATTATGACAGAATGTGCGATTGAACCATTCCATGAATTCCTGTAGGTTTGTTACAATTGAGTGTTTAGTAGAATTGTGTAGATTAAATAAGATAAATTTTAAATGGGTATATACTGTATAAAAGAATTCACCAGCTTTTTCTTTTGTTATGATTTTGTATTGACTGATAAGTACAATTCCTGTGTATTTTGCTTTTTTCTATTTTTTCGGTCATTTAAACAAGTGTTAAGTGGTAGTGTTTTATCTCTTTATTTCAAAAGAGAAGTAGTACTGAGGCAATTGTATGACAGATGTCTCTTGCAGATACAGTATTTGTTCTTGGTAAATAGGTTAATAAAAGAGTTATTGTCCCACTTTGACTTTAGTTTTTGGAGTCCATAGTCGAAAGTCAAAATAAAAAAAAAACATTCTGTTAAAAAAGCAGGAAAAATTTAAACTAAAAGATAAACTCGGTGTCAGAATCAACTATTTGGAATATACTGAAGAAGGAAACCACAGATATAATTGCCAATTAGCCAAGACGAAGTTGACCATGAAAAACTCCTGCATTTGATGATACAAATATCAGAGCTGTCAAGGAATATCTTAAAATAACAGTCCAGCAACCTCCAGAGTGCAGGGGTGAAGGTATCAAAATGCACAGTTCACAGGAGATTGGGTATCAAAATGCACAGTTCACAGAAGATTGGGTATTAAAATCCACAGTTCAGAAGATTGAGACAGCAGAATTAGATGGCTGCATTGCAAGATGTAAAACTCTCATCAGCACCTAGAACAAAAAAGCCAAGAATCTGCTACAAAACATGAACCACGAGGAAGTTGGAAGAAAGTTTTATGGAGAGATAAAAAGGTAAAGTATAGGAAAAAAAATACCTAAGATGCTTCAAAGAAAGTCACCTCTTCTGTGAAGCCAGGTGGAGGTCATGTCACGGCTTGTCACTGACTCACATGTCAAAAGGGGAACTGTAGTCCCAATTTCTCAGACCAGTTATTAAATCTTGGTAACAAAATTAATTTATGGTATTGCAAAATTTTACAAATTTAGAATTATCACAATTATCACAAAATAGCGAAATTTTTTGAAAATGCTGTACAGTCCTCATTTAGTCACCACAGGTGAGAGCAAAATTTTGAGCAAATTGTAGCATGAAATGGCCCTTCCTGCTCACTAATCACTGTAATGCCCAATGTAATGTGATATACGAGCAAATTAAGTTCAGGTTGTACAGCAGACATTTCACCACAGGAATTTCGTTGTGGTTTTCAGTGCACATTGTAAATCTGAAATACTGTATAAAAATAGCATTGCAGTTCCCTTTTAATTAGTGATGTAAGTGATTATAACATCAACTGAATGAATTTGGACATTTACTGAAACATTTTGTTTACAAACAATACATGAAAATGCTTCTTTACCTCTTGGGCAACACTTCACCAAGCAACATGACAGTAAAGCAAAATATACAGCCAGTGCAGCCCAGGATTTTATCAGACTGGCCAAGTCAGTATCTAGATATAAATCCAATTGGAAAAAAATTTCAGATGATTAAGGGTTTTTTTTTTTAGGTCATTGAGTCATAGACGTCAGTTTTATTACTGTACTTCAAAGGCATACAACCAAATGCTTTATTTTGCACTTCTGACATTACTTAGAGTGATTGTTCCCCAATATTTAAGATCACTTCAAATTAAACATTTTGACGGCTTTGCTGTCTCAACACTTTTGAAGGGCGCTGTACAGCTCAAAAACAGCCCAGGTGTTATTGGGTTTTTAACAACCTATGTATTTTATCAGTATCTTTGCCTTTATATACAGTACACAAAAAGCATACAGTAAATAGACTTGTTTAGATGCTTCTACTTCTCAGCATTATGAAATAGAGTTCATTTATATTGTCATTGTCATAAATATTTGCAAACCCTTGACCTCCCTCCCATTGCTATAGGAATATTACTACAGCACTCTGCATGGGGCACATACTTTAGATTGCAGAGTGTCTCTTGGCAGAGTCCCAGGCCTGTACAACCGAGGTTCAGGTCAGAGCTAGGGATCTGTATGTTTAAAGGACTCTGAGAGAAAGCTGAGCACAGCACTAAACTGACAGTGGAATCTAAAACACTTTCTTTTGATGATTAAAAGCATGTCATCCCAAGACTTTCCTGGTTAGTTTCCAGTAACAGTCATATTGTTTTGGATCTAATAAAGATGTTACATCTTTTGCTGGATAAACTATAATGATTTGTGTCATTTCTTGCTAGCAATACCTCTGAAGAACAGAGTTGTTAAACCTTTATTGGCATTTCACTATGCAGGAATATTTTTGAAGCACCAGCCTTGTTTTTTAAAACTCTGTTAGGTCATTTACATTATTCACTTATTTCATGGTTTGTACAGTACACTGTTTGTAGCCGAGATGAGATACGTTTTGTGGCCTGTTATCCCTGTTATCCCTAAACAGCAAAAGGTCTAAGTAAGTTAAACACTAGCAATGTCAAGTTGAAAATCAAACTTAAAGCTTTAAGTTCCTTGTAACATAATTCATTGTAGGGACGACTTGAGCAGTGAAGGTTTTTAATATATTTTGTCTTGTATCTACCTACTATCAAAACTAGCCTGAATTCTCTCTAGTCCTGATTAGAAACACTAAGACACAGAATATTCTTTAGTTCAGTTTACAGGTGGTAATTCGCTGGAGGAATTCAATGGAGGATGCCATGAAAACAAGAGATTTCATTTTTTAAGTTAAAAAGCAGAAAAAAACACACTGAAATGACTGCTGCTATCTGTGGCTCTGTACTGTATGTAGAGGGAGGGTTTTCTTATTTCACGTTTTTTTATTTTGAGCTCTGGTAACAGCCGAGACTGCTGTGTATTGTGTA